TGCCTCAACCGCCTAGTTTTCCCTATAATTTTATTAAACCAAATTATTTATTTATTTGTTAGCTCATTACTTTTAGAACCAACTGGAATTCAAGCATCAGGAAGGGCTTGCTATTATAGCCCGTATAATAGCAAAACATCTGACATAGGCAGGTACTCATTATTTCACGTACAGAAGAAGGTTATTGCAAAAAATATCTGATATTTTGAAAAGTTTTTATCAGAGGAAAAATACTATTTATACATTATACTAAAATAGAGCTCCAGAAACAAAGATCATATTTCATAAATGAAAATTATTTTATTAGCAAGCCCTGGAGGAGTATTTTTAATCTCACTTCCTATTCTTATGCTGTAGTCCATTGAAAAAGTTTTCAGCCAAGATTTATTTCTAGGGAAATGAGCAAAATAAAGTGTTGAGGCTGCTGTGTGAGCTTGATAGGAGCAAAGAGAAGCCCAGGGGCAGGTGAGATAGCTCAGCGGTCTAAGCACCTGCTTAGGCAAGTTTAGGCTGGAGCAGGGGATCACGGTTCCCTCCCCGGAATCACATGCTGTGCCAGCCCTGCACTCAGGGCAGGCTGAACTGACTGGCCAAAAAAAGAGAAAAAACAATCACATCACTAGGGTTCAATCCTCTGCATGCTGTGCTGACACTGCCCCTTGAGCCCACTGAGATTGGGTGTGGTGGCGCATGTGCCTGTAATCCCAGAAGTTGGGAGGTTGAAGACAAGAGGATCACTATGAGTTTGATCTGTGTAGTGAGACTCTGTACTAAATACATTAAAAATAAATAAATTAATAAATTAATAAATAAAAGAAGCTCAGGGCAAGATTCAGTAAAACTCAAACTAGACACAGAGGTGTTCGGTGTCCGTAGCCTGGAAGTGCTGCTTCTTGAACTCATGCTCAAGTTTTCTGAAGGAGGAGCGAGAGAGAGTGCGGGGCCTCCTGTGGCTGACATTGTCCCTCAGCTACTAGAGCAAGCCTGGGTCACTCAGAGTTACGATTACAATCATCAGGGCTATGAGCTGCCTTGTGGAGTCTAATTCAGGAAGTCACAAAATGCTACTTGAAAGGATTTCTCCTCCACTTACATGCTTGTCACAAAACTAGGAATTCTGTACAGCTGTATGGTTGGGAAAGGCTTTGAAATATTTAGTCATGACTCAGTGTCTATAAAAGGAACATGTAGTTCAAAGATAATGTAAATGGAACTTTTTTGTCAGCTTTGAAACTTGTAGGTCAGATTTGTTGACTCAAACTCTCAAATGGATTCTGCATGAAATATAAAATCAAACAATACCTGGTTATTTTAAAAGAGTTTCAAAATATCATTTCCTGAGTAGTATCTGATTCTGCCTTAATAACGAGCAAAATTTTATTAAATTATGATAGGCTTAGAAGAATGGCGTTCAACTGTAACATTGTCAAATGATATATTATTGCAAAGAGCCAGGCAGTCATCCATCTCTCTGGATCTTTATTCGTGACCAAAGATCCTTGTTAACTGACAGCCTAAAAACGTATAGCAATGTGAAGTGTCACCATAGCCCACTGAAATTCACATTCGAAACACATATTGTGCTATTTTCATAGCTACGTTTTCCAAATGATAGAAGACATTTACTGATTTGGGGATCACTGAGTTATACAGCACCCTCTATAACGTTAAGGAAGGCAGGGATAAAGTCAGCGCAGAACCACTATGTGTGTTACCCTCTCTTTCCATACATAGCTTACGCAACAGTAAAAGCTTTTACACTATTTTTGGTGCCTGAAAATGCCTATAGAAAGATTATTAGCAGAAGTGATGATATTTTACAGCATTTCAGCTTAATAATGTATGAATCAAACCTAAACGTCCCATCTATCTTTTGTCCTTTTCACACTGCACTAAATGACACTAGAGAAGGGAACACAGGAGAAAAAGAATTAAACACTAAGTGTTTTACCTAGAAAGTGAATTCTTACCCATCTCTTCTGATGGACAGAAGAGGATAAAACAAAAATCAAAATGTGCTTTTCATCATAGTGTTTGAGTCTGTAGCTTTGGTTATATAAAGTTATAAAAACAGTAGGTTAAAATTTTCAGATTACATCATCTGTGGTAGCATAATAAATCACACATTTATTAGAAGACATAAAGTTGATGAAATGAACACACAGTAACTTTAAGTTAAATGCTAAAGATGTCTTGCTCTCTTACCATCTTTCCTAAACTTATCCTGGTACAAGAAATAGTCATTTTTAAAATCATTCCATATCAATGACCTTGTAATTCATCTCCTTGTATCTTGTGCTCCTACTACATTTATTTCCCGCATCATCAATACAAACTTTTGAAAGAGAAAATCTGATTTTGTTCCTACCACCTCGAAATTTCAAATGAATGCTTCTTGCCTTTTGGAAAAAACATGGACTCAAGTGTCCTTAAAACACCTCCTCAGTTTGGCTCAGATAATTATAGTCTACTTAAAATGAAAAATAAAGACTTAAAATATGCATGTGCACATATATATTAATATGTGCTTCTCTCTGACTGTTTACTCATGACCAAGGATCCTTGCTAACTGATAATGTAAAAAGGGGTAGCAAATATCAAATGCCAACTTAGCCTGTTGAAATTTGTATTCAAAACATTGTGTCTATCTGAACATCCTCTTAATGTACAATGATTTATACCAATAAAAGGTTTTTAAAATACAATCTAGAATTTATGAGACAGTATTTTTTATGATGAGTCACTTGTGATGTTAATTTGCTTTCATGGATATTGCAAATATTTAATAAGGGTTGATTTATTAAGACCTCGGCTAATATTCAGACCAGAGAGAAGTAGAATTTGAGATATTAAGATGTATGTAATAAATCAGACCTGTAGACAACACATATGCCTGATAGAGAAATGTATCATTTTTTTCTGGAGCTCTAAATTATAATAATAAATTGCCCACATGTTCTTGTTACTAAATTTTCTTCTATGTAAAGATCATAAGTTAATCCAACAGTTATTAATAAAACCTTGTTATATGCCAAATAGTCCCCTGTGCACCAGAAATTCAAGGTAGAACAAGAAAGGCAAGAGCTTGTTCCCACGAAGGTTAGATTTAAGCAGGAGAGGCCTACACAATAAGCAAGAATAACTTAATACGTAAGGTCATTTAAAAAACCATAAATATTATGGAAAAGGAAGAAAGTACATCAGAGAGAATATTCAGAGTGGGAAACTCCCCAAAACTAGTGACCACAGGATACTTGTCTTAAGAGAAAACATCACTTGCAAGCAGGCGCAGGGGTTGGGAATTCAATTCCCTGGCCTGCCATGCTGGTCCCACCCTTGGGGC